AATGTCATACATTCGTAAAAATGCTAAATGAGTTAGGACTGGGTAATCAACACCAACAATATTGTATCAGAAAAATTATATCTATTGCCATCCGATCAACGTACTACATATTTTGCTGTAGAAATAAAGAATGGACAAATCCCGAACTAATGAACATTTAAAGTAACTATTTCTATAAATAAGTAGCAATTTTTGTATATAAAATTATAACCATGCATGTATAAGTGATTCAAGTAGTCAATTGTAGGTTAGCTCAAGAAGTGAGATTTACAATTGTATATATCTATAAATGTTCTATTAATAAATTCATTATTATTATTATTATTATTATTATTATTAGTTTTTCACAGCTTTGTTCTTATGCTGGCTATGTTTTTCCTTGGAAGCTGGCTACAACCAGTAGCCTCAGGTCCCAAAGATTTTAGCTTTCCAAGCTTCTTCTCAGTATTCTTGCCGTCCCTAACAATGCTGTTTTTTGTAGAAGTTCTATTCTTATATGTATTCCCAATTTCTCAATCCACTTATCCAGTTTATTACTAACTGCTCCTAAGGCACTTACTACTATTGGAATGACTTCTACTTTTTTCATTGCCCATATTTTCCGAATTTCCCTTTTCAACTCCTCATACTTTTCTACCTTCTCTGTTTCTTTTATACCAATTCTACAGTCCCCTGGAACTGCGATGTCTATGATCTTGCATTCCTTTTCCTTCTTTAAAACCACTACAATATCAGGTCTTCGACATTCAATCACATCATCGCACTGTATGTTAAAATCCCAGAGAATCTTTACATTATCTGATTCAATTACTCCGTTTGGTTGGTGTTCATACCATTTTTCAGCTTTCTCTAGTTGGTACAAACCACATAGCTTCCAGTGTACAATGCGAGCCACATTGTCATGTCTTCGTTTGTATTCTTTTTGTGCTAGCTTCTTGCATTCACTTATCAAGTGTGTTATATGCTCTCCCTTTTCCCCACAAAGTCTACAGAGTGGAGACTCAACAGTTCTATCTATGTGAAACTTTACATAATTTGTCCTTAGAGCTTGTTCTTGTGCAGCACAAAGAAGTACTTCAGTCTCAGGTTTCAAGTCTCCTTTCTTCAGCCACCACCATGTCTCCTCCCTATCCACTTCTTTACCTAAATCTCTGTTATATTGTCCATACATTTTCTTATCAATCCAAGCTTTCTCTAGCTCCTCTACTGCTTTCTACTTAAAATTTTCTTTTGTTTCGCATCTTTCCGTTTCAATCACACCTGCCTTTGCAACTTGTTGTAAAAGTGGTTCCACACTGTTCTTTACATACCATCCCAAACTGTTCTCCTCTGTACGAATGCATCCTTCACAACTGATCAAACCTCTTCCGCCCTTTTCTCTCGGTAAATATAATCGATGAATGTCACTTCTTGGGTGAAGAGCACCATACAGTGTCATCAGTTTACGTGTTTTGCGATCCATTGCAGCAATTTCATCTTTTGTCCATTTCAAAACACCAGCTCCGTACCTCAGCAGCGCAACAGCCCAAGTATTCATCGCCATGATTTTGTTTCTGCCATTCAGTTTTGATTTCAGCACCAGTCTTAATCTCCTCCCGTATTCCTTTACAAACTTTCTCTTCATTTCACCCTCCATAATTTTATCTAATTCCAGTATACCAAGATATTTATATCCATCTTCTTCTACGGACTTTATTGTTTTCTCATCAGGTAGCTGTATTCCATTACATTCCACAATCTTTCCTCTTTTCATTACAAGCATTCCAGATTTCTTTATCCCAAATTCCATTCCAATGTCTTTGCTAACTATATGGACAGTTTTCACCAGCGAGTCTACTTGCTCCTTGTTCTTTCCAAACAACTTCAAATCATCCAGGAATAGAAGATGGTTGATTTTGAGTTCTTTTTTTCGAAATTCATTCCCTACCTTTTCCTTTCTCAGTATCAAGCTTAATGGTATCATGCACATCACAAAAAATCACCGGAGATAAACTATCTCCTTGAAAAACACCTCGTCTTATCTTCACATTTCTTAGGCTTTCTCCCACAGATGTTAACTCCGTTTTCTACCGCAGATGTTAACTCCGTATTATTATTATTATTATTATTATTATTATTATTATTATTATTATTATTATTATTATTATTATTATTATTATTATTATTATTATTATTATTATTATTATTATTATTATAATAACAGTAACAAGTAACAAGTAACCAGTAACAAGTTTGGTCTAAATATCTACCCGCCGTCAATTAAGTTTGTTCAGTGCCAAACAGTTGCTCGTAATGCCTTAAAGACCTCTCCAAATCATTCCATAAAAGACCTCTGGAAAACAACATCTGAAGGCAAAAACATTCAGTACGACGTCTGCACCTCGACAAAGGAAGTCCTTAAAACTTTTACCTCCGGACAAGAAGACAAACTGCAGAATCATCTGTTTTTGCAAGGCTCCTTCTTCTCAAATGTCATTAAGTTTTCACTGTCGGAAGTAAACGGCATATGGTCTAAATCCCAATCAAACCTCCCAAAGAACATCTATAACTTCACCATTCGTTACATTAATAACTCACTTCCAACTCGTAAAAACCTTACTAAATGGGGAATATTGTCCAACTCTGATTGCTCCTTCTGCTTAAACCCTGAACCCCTTTTACACGTAGTTGCTGGATGTCAAACGTACCTCCCACGATTTACATGGAGACATGATTCTGTTCTGAACTTCATAGCACAAACGCTACAACCTGTAAACAACTCCAATCTTTTCGTCGGTCTTCCTGGTTATAAAAGCCCATCAATTGTAACTGGTGACACATTCCGCCCAGACCTACTTCTATCTATCAACTCGGATTGTCTCTATATCCTTGAACTTTCTGTTGGCTATGAGTCTAATCTACAAACAAATGTTGATCGGAAAAGAAGAAGATACGAAGATCTCATTACACAGCAAAAGAAACAATTTAAGTCCGTAAAATTTGTAAATTTGTCAATTAGTTCTTTAGGCGTTCCTTTTTAGATATGTTAACTGATCTAGGTCTTGATAAAAGACACCAATATTTCGCTATCAGAAAAATTATGTCTATCGCGATTAGGACAACATATTATATATTTTGTTGCAGAGATAAGGACTGGTTAAATCCGGAATTACTGAACATTTAAGGATACTCATTATTAATATATAAATATTAAGTAGGTTCAAGTAGTCAATTATAAATTACCTAAATTAGTGAGATTTATAATTGTATATATACGTATATAATTTTAATAAAGTTTCCATTATTATTATTATTATTATTATTATTATTATTATTATTATTATTATTATTATTATTATTATTATTATTATTATTATTATTATTATTATTATTATTATTATTATTATTATTATTAATAAAGCTCGGATCAGACAACGCTCTGTTGTCATCACCCTACTTGATCTTAAGAATGCCTTCGGCGAAATCCATCACAACCTCATTCAATCCGTACTTGACTACCACCATATCCCTGATCATATAAAATTTGTTATAAAAAGTTTATATACTAATTTCCAAACCTCGATAATTACCTCTGAATTCCGCACTCCTTTTATGACAGTTGGCCGTGGCGTATTGCAAGGAGATTGCCTCAGTCCTCTTCTTTTTAACATGTGCTTCAATACATTCATTCAGCATATCAAGGCTGAAAAGTACCGTCAATTTGGGTTTTCCTTCAAATTATTAAATCCCATCCATTGGTTCCAGTTTGCTGATGACGCGGCTGTAATTACTGGCCAAGAATCCGAAAACCAACATCTATTAAATCGATTTTCTATCTGGTGCCAATGGTCCGATATGATTATCCGAGTTGACAAATGCAGTACCTTTGGCATTAAAAAAGCGATCACAAAATCAGTTCAGTACTTGCCAAAACTCCTCATCAGCAATCAACTAATACCAAAAATCACCATTGGAGAATCATTTCAATATTTAGGACGTTACTTTGATTTCCACATGTCGAATGATAATCACAAAACTGAACTAACCACCCTACTTAGTGAACTAATGTCTGATATTGACTCAAAGCCACTACACCCCAAAAATAAACTGCTCCTCTACAGTCGCTACGTCTTGTCCAAGTTAGCCTGGCACTTCAACGTCGCAACACTCTCTAAAACATGGGTTACTGAAAATATCGATTCTATTGCCAACAAATATATCCGCAGATGGCTTGAAGTACCAATATCAGGAACACTAAGTACTGTCTTTCTAACAAATAACAAATTTGGCCTGAGTATTTATCCTCCATCTGTAAAATTTATCCAGTGTCAAACAGTCCTCCGAAAAGCTTTAAAATCTTCTCCTAATGAATCAACTAACGACCTGTGGAGAGCAACCAGTAACCATACTAATATCCAATATGACGCTTATAACTCTATTAAGGAAGTTCTCAAAGATTTCCGTTCTGGACACGAAAACAAACTCCTAAACCAATTAACCAGTCAAGGATCCTTTTTCTGCAGCGTCACGAAGTTCGCTTTACCTCAGCTTAGCAAGGTGTGGTCCGTCGCCCAATCAAAGCTCCCGAAAAACATTTACAACTTTACCATTCGTTACATTAACAACTCTCTTCCGACGCGTAAAAACCTAAACAGATGGGCAATATCTTCAAATTCAGACTGTTCTTTTTGTCTTAGCCCTGAAACATTACTACACATAGTAGCTGGATGTCAGTTTTATCTCGACCGATTTACGTGGAGACACAATTCAGTCCTGAACTTTCTTGCTCATCAGTTACAAACTGTTGACGGTTCTACTCTCTACGCTGATCTAAATGGATTCAAAAGCCCTTCAATACTTACTGGTGATACGTATCGCCCAGATTTGTTATTATCGTGCTCAAATGGTTCCTTATATGTGGTTGAACTCACCACTGGTTATGAGACAAACCTCAAAAACAACGTAAAATGGAAGAAGGATAAATATAGAGAATTATTGAGACAGCTAGGTAAAAATTTTAACCAAGTTAAATTTATAAACCTCTCCATCAGCTCTTTAGGTATTTTTGCAGAAGAATGTTATACATTTTTAGACATGTTAGATAGTATTGGTCTTAACAAAAACCACCAAATGTACTGCGTTAGGAAAATGATGACTATTGCTATTAGAACTACATATTACATTTTTTGTTGCCGAAATAAGGAATGGGAAAATCCGGATTTACTAACAATTTGACTTATCTCATTGTATATATATATATATATATATTGCATGCACTTTGTTCTGTTATTTTAGTTTAGTATAATTGTGATTCAAATAGCCAACCGTAAGTTACCTTTATGAGAGAGATTTACGATTGTATATGTATGTAAAGAAAAACATTTAATAAAGTTTCCATTATTATTATTATTATTATTATTATTATTATTATTATTATTATTATTATAAGTATTATTATTATTATTATTATTATTATTATTATTATTATTCACGTCGTCGCTGGATGCAAGACCTACCTAAATGAAGGACGTTTCACGTGGCGTCATGATTCGGTGCTTAACTTCATAGCATCCATACTCAAATCTGTGGACCATTCTGACCTTTCTGCTGACCTTTCTGGCTATATCAGTCCTGACCATCTGTTCTCACCGGAGATGAATTGCGCCCTGATCTTTTGATAACACTTGAAAACAAATGTATTTATATACTTGAACTTACCGTCGGATTTGAATCTAATCTCCTCACTAATGCAACTCGAAAAAGACAAAAATATCAAGATCTAATTAACGACCAGCTCAAAAATTATGAAAAAGTGAAATTTGTAAATTTATCGATTAGCTCATTAGGAGTTTTCAGCCACCCGTCGCTAGATTTCACCGAAATGCTGAAAGATCTAAAGTTTGATGAACAATGTAGAAAGTACTATGTTCGGAAAATTATTAACATACGTATCAGGTCCTCGTATTATATATTTTGTAAGCGTAACAAAGAATGGGATAACCCACAACTAATGTCATACTAATATTGTTATTATGTAGAGTGTTAATTCAAGTAGACACTTGTAAACTACCTGTAAAGAGAGGTTTATCATTGTAGTGTGTATATATATATATTATTGAAAGTAATAAAGTTTCCATTATTGTTATTATTATTATTATTATTATTATTATTATTATTATTATTATTATTATTATTATTATTATTATTATTATTATTATTATTATTATTATTATTATTATTATTATTATTATTATTATTATTATTATTAAAATATGTGAATAGTTTATGGTGCCAAGGGTATTTTCAACGGCTTTGTCACTCTCAACACAACGTTAAACTAAGAATTATCACGAGCAACTTGAAAGCTTATTGCGATCCAAGAGGTGTTACTTACTGTATGGTAGAAATTGCAGCAAATATTGCATGAGCGGCCATTTGTAAGGTTATTTGAAAAAGCTTCAACCATTTGTTCCTTAGCGCTCATTCTTGAGCTGAAATCCATTGAGCCGGCTGCGTCGTAGGATCTTAAACTCTCTAATTTATTGCTTAGCAGCCTCTCCCCCGCTTATTGGCGATACTTAATCGATACTTAATTTGCCTCCCCCCATCCCTACTTTTGAGATTGTATTTCCCTGGCGATGGTTCTAAAACACCCATGAAACAAATAAGTTAGGTAGCTAGGTTGTTTAATATAGAGAGTATATCACATTATCTCAGATCTCTAGTAACTCTATACATATTTGTAGAGCTCTACATCGATGCGGTACCACACATATTATCCTTTGAAGATCCCTCTGAGTTGGATTATTTCACGTTTCCCAATACTTCTATTTTGATGACGTCAACAAAGCATTACAAAGATGGATTTCACTCGATGAAGTGGCAGTGGGAAGCTGGGGACAAACTGAAATTAAATTGGAAGCAACGTTTGGACGGTTCCAATGCTGGTATTAAATTGTGGATTTACCGAAACGAGAGCTCTGCCGCTAATCTTAGCGTGTCGCTTATCGATTCTAAGCTACACCGCAGTAAGAATGTTGTCATACAGTTTAATTTTTCATTAAATTTCACTGGCTGGCGCGCGGCTTGGGTAGCACTACGCGAAACAAAATCACTTCCAAAAAGACCTGGGTATGATCAAATCGTATTCACAGCCCCAGTTCAAGAAATACCTTCTCGAGTACTTTTCATGGATCTACTTTGCTTCGCGGACAACATAATATATCAATCCCGTGATGAAATAATTCCACCTATCAGCGGCGACATTTACGATATAACATTCACATGGCAACAGACGTACAGATGGAGCTTGGTAAACCCACCGGAAGTGAATGGAACCAAACCATTATCAGCGAAGGAAATGCAACAATTGAATGATATATATTTGATAGAAAAACGACTCGTAAATTGGTTTGCAAAAGAGGGTGTCCGAATAGGAGAGTTTCAAGGAAACGTCTTGAAACGATGGGAATCTGTGGTTATTCTTGGTTTTCAACGTGCAAGACGTTATCTAAAAGTGCTTAATATTACTGTAAGTCAAGATGATGTCATTACAGGATCTCCACTGTTTCTCAAACGATCTCAGTTTGGACAAGGTTTGGAAAACGCAACAGGTGGAAACAAGAAATTAGGAGACGTCTCGTTCCAAGTATTATTTCCACTGACATTAGAGTATTACTTTTCTATAAAAGAAAGTACTATTCGTGATACTGTCTGGAGAGAACTAGCAAATATCAACAGCGTTGTTAGAAGAGAATTTGCTGTGAAACGAATTACAAAGCAGGACTCGGCATACTCAGAATTCCTACTTTCGGAGTTACGAAAATTTAAATCGCCGTTAACGCATGTTCGTTTTCGACGGAGCTTGTATAACCTTAATCAAAGAAAACTGGCCACTATAATGTTGTTATTGGAGTATATGACGGATCAGGGATGGACACATGGGAGTGCAATGGGATCATTGGATCACGGAATGAACAAAGTTGGGAGCGGATTTATGAATTCGATGTTTCTTCTAAGAGAACAACTCTCTAAAGCTGGGAAACTGGGAAAATTTTTAAAGACT